GTACTACAACGACTTCGCTCTCAGCGCTCTGAAAAACCGCATCACATCAGCTCAAATTGGAGCCATTACCAAGCTCTTCTTTTACGTGAAGGCTATGGAATATTCAAGCAGACCGAACGACATCGGAGACTTCGACTTGAAGCGTGTTCAGAATTTGAGTACGTTGACGGGGTTGAAGTACATTCACGTCGCTGTTGTGGTAAATAACGGCGACTTAATGTGTCGCGAGTCCTCCTTCCGTACGACCCGTCCGTCGGCGAATGCGGCGCTCAAGCGGATAGAGGCTGGCTTGGGTCCTAGACTTCTGGAATTCGCACCCAAGGATGTTGAGTTGGCGTTTGAGCTTCATCGTCTGGAGTAGTAGGATATGGTCAAGTGTACGCTAGCTTTTGTGTGACTGATGTGGAAAACATTAGTTGCCGAGACGTTCAGCTACGGGTATTTCCAGTGTCGTTTGCGTCGTCGCTATTGCGGGAGTCGTGAGTGGCTCCTTCTTCGTAGGTAATTGCGATTTCTGATTTACCGGGCTTGGCTGGGCGAATTGTTTTAGTTTTGGTAGAATGTCCTCGTTACCTACTCAACGACCCAGATTCGAGACTAGGTGAATCCCCAGTGAATGAAGGAGCGGTCGACTTACGGCCTAGCGCAATGGACCCTCAGTTCTTCTTTCCCACAGCGCTGGCTGTCCTACCCAGTGATTCCATGCTCGGAATGCAACTTCCTAATTTCATCACTCTTAGCACCGACACATCGACCACGATGGCGGACGCGACGCGCGCAGCCGACGCGCACTTAGCAGCTCTGTCGTCGCATGAAGAGAACACAAATATAACTACGCGCAACGCTACTGAGTCCCCTCTTCTGCAACTTCCAGCCGAGATGCGAAATGAGATCTATGAGTGAACAGACCTTCTCGCATCGCTCGCTTCACGATGAATGTACGCTAACCCTCTGAACCTACCCTAGATATGTTCTGAGCGGCCAGGTTCACGAGATCCTATTGCGACCCCTCCCACTGGAAAGTACCCTTGGCCTACTACTCGTCTGCAAGCAAATCTCCGAAGAAGCTGCCATGCTACAATACCCCTACTGCGTCTTTGCATTCGACCACGAGCTCGCCATGCGCAACCTCCTCTTACGATGCTCCCCCACCCAACTTAAACTCATACGTACCATTCAGCTCAAACCACGTAGGTGTGGTTTGCTGAAGCGGTCCTTCTGGAACTTTGGGAACAATGGAGGGTCAATACGGTTGGAGAAACTGGAAGGCTTGCAGACGGTGGTTATCGAGAGAGCGAGGGTTCCTTCACTGATGAGTGCTGTGGGCGAGCAACAGGACATTGGGATGCTGGCGGAGACGATGAAGCGCATGAAACCGGATGTTACTGTCATAATCGAAGAATAAGTTGGGTTGAGCACACGAGAAATGCTCGCGGTTGTACAAGAATGTTATCGAGCTGGAGGTATACACTACCTCAAGAAGGCATTTGTTTATTCAGACTCAGTTGCATGTACGAAGTAAGACGCGACACATATCTAACCACCCTTCGTGGTGCCATAAGCTGAATGACATCAGAGTATGCATCAAACTTGTACTAGCGTCCCAGCGCCAGGTTGCGCAAACAAACTTCCTCATTGCTCTTACTGTTTTGGGCCTCAACTCCACTCCTACGGGTCCAAGCTCTTCAGGGCTGTCTCTCACTTACCAACTACTTAGATCACAACACAACACAGCTCCGCCCACACGTCAGTAATAAAGAGGTCCAAGACACCTGCCAAGATGGGGCGAAGGACAGCAGCCAACGCCGCGCGCGCTCACCTGTATGCAGTCTACGAGAGTCAGTATGCGCAAGAAGTACATGAACTAATGTTGAGATAGCACGGCGGCAAATCAGCGCAACTCTCCTCTCCTCCGTCTACCGGCCGAGCTTCGGAATCGAATCTACGCGTACGCATTGGGCGGCCATGTTCTCGGGATGGGAATATATACAGAGCCGGTGACACGCAATCGCAAGTCACGTCTTTATAAGAAGAAAGATGCCCCTGCTTTCGCATTGCTAAAGACATGCTCTCAAGTCAACGCAGAGGCAGCAGCTCTCGCGTATAGCCTCAACACTTTCAGCTTCCCCAGATTTGACTCCGTCATTGCCTTCACAGAGATCGCCGGTAAGCGTGGGATCAGAGTCATCAGAGTGATCAGGATCTCATACGACGTTGTACTCCACAGTGATCCTACGCGCATGTGGTCACAGCTCAGCTTTTTCCGAGGTCTAGAGGAAATCAAGATTGACCATGTTGGAAAAAAGTTCGATCTCGATTCAACAGAGGACAATCAGGCCTGGCTTCGGACACTATTGAGGCTTCTGCGAAGCTATAAGCCTGGTGTCAGAGTCATGACATGGGATTCTTCCGTTGGGTTGAGCAGTGTCGAGTATCACTGAGACAAAGTGGATTGGGCTTGGACCATCGTATGGAGGGTGGAAGGAGATTTCTTTTACGATATCAAACGAATAGCCTACAAGGACTATAGACGAGGTGGAGCAACTCAGATGAGTTTGACGGATGTTTTATCTTGGTGAAGTTTCCGATATCGATAATGTACTATACATCCGTCTCTCCAAACATCAGCAAGTGTTCACCATTACAACTACCCGACTTTTCTCTCGGTGAGCACGTACGAACATCTTTTAGTGCCAAAGGGATTGGAAATACTCGCGAAAGCAAAATATGGACGAGACGAGTACGGATGTGTCCTAGCGCACGGCCATGCAAACGCTCTATCGCTTCCTATCATTTTCCTTCCTACAAGACTACACCGCAACACCGCTCCACCGATATACCGTACAGCGCCAGATACCCAGACCCGTCTCAATAATTCAACAATGGCGCACGGAACATCAGCAAACCAACGCAACTCCCCCCTTCTCCGCCTTCCCGCAGAGCTTCGAAACCAGATCTACAAACACGCGTTGGGCGGCCATATAGTCTTATTGGGAACAACACATGAGCTCATTTACCCACGGAAGCCACGCCTCTACCAGAGGAGCCCATCCCACACTTCGCGCTACTAAGAGTGTGCTCGCAAATCCACGCCGAGGCCGCCCTTCTCCCATACAGCCTCAACATCTTCCACTTCTTCACAGACCCCAGCAGCATCAATGCTTTCATGAGCAGTATCAGTACATCGCAGCTTGGAGCTCTTACGATACTGGTTATTCAGATCAAAGACGTCTGCAGAAATCCAGATCACATGTCGCCTCATCTGATTCAATGCAAAAGTCTCAAGGAAATCAGGATACGCTATAATACAAAGTCCGTTGTGTTCCCGAGGAACTACGACTTGTCTCGTGTAGGTTGGTTCGCGAAACTACTGCGAGAAAAGATTCCTGATGTCAAGGTTACGACTTGGGACACTGGCATGGGAATCAAATTTACGGGACATTACTAAGACGGTTGGCAGTTGACATACATGGTCGGATGAAGAGTGGAATTTGAGCTACTGTCACAACATGACAGAATGGCTCTCTAGCATCGAGATCGAGGGAAACAATCCAAGGCGCGGTTTTCAGATAATCGTATTCTAGTAAAGTTGCCTGATGAGGAGGGTTAGCCAAAGTCAACTTCCATGCAGAATTAGAAGGATCGTTAACTGCCCCTCCATCCCGAGGTCTTGTCAAAAATATCTATCTTCTTGAACACGATCTATATACATACGTGTCAAGGTATAGCACTACCAATGTAGTAAGCTATCGCAGTGCACGGCTGTGCAAACCCTCTCTTTCACTTCTTCGAATGTCTTGGCATCGCCTGCACTTCAAGGTCCTGTTGCGCTCTCACAACTGAACGACTATATATCGTACTTGCGACTTCTCCCATTTATGAGAGTGAACCAACTGCAGCACCCGACACTTCAACCCACCCAACTGCAAATGTCCAAATCCATGTCGACAGCGCAAACAACGGCGCAGATAACATCCGCAAATCAACAAAACTCTCCTCTTCTCCGCCTACCGGGCGAACTTCGAAATCAGATTTGGATGCACGCGCTGGGCGGCCGGAGAATCAGGTTGAGTTTACGCGGCGACAAAGTACTAGTACAATATCGCGACAAATTTGCACTGGCATTCGGGCTATTGAAAGTATGCACCCAGATCACCGCCGAGGCTGGGATGCTGCTTTACAGCCTCAGTGTGTTCGACCTTGTATCGACGACCATGATCAACGACCTCGTTACTAGCATGACTACATCGTCCATCGAAGCTATCAAAACGCTGAAACTCCCACTCTGCTTCATCGACACTCATTATCCCCGCGTTGCATCCTCACTCGCAAAGTTCAAGGGCTTGGAGCAGATTAGGTTGAAACACAGCTGTAGAGACAATCATTTAAGGCTTCCTCGATATCAGGACGGGTTGCGGGTTTTAGCGGATGGTCTACGAAAGGATGTACCGGGTGTCAAAATTTCGACATATAAGTTTATACCTAGGGAACCGGATTGGGCAATGAGAATAGCATTGATGAGACACTCCGGATTGAGCAGTGAGAAGAGCTTTACTGAGATACTCCGGACTGAGCGTCAAGAGGAGGCCGAAGAGCAAGAAGCAAGTATCTTTTAAAGACACGCAATGGGCAGTCTTATGAGCACTGAGAAAGGAAAGGGAGTAAGGGCGCCTTGAAATGAGATGGTGTGTAGGTGTTTATTCTAGCAAAGCTTACTGAGATCGATGACCAGCCACAAGCTCATCTTTCTATAAGATAAGGCAGAATTAAAGACTTCTCTCCTGTTCTGCCTTCGCTCAGTGAAGCATTACCTACGCTCATTATGTATGACCAAGTGGATCTGAAAGAACTTTTACTCCTTCACTTGCCTGACTACTATAGCAAGCACGTGCACCCCCAAGCTTTCTCGCACTTCCCCACTTCTACGACCACGCCACCACCACAGCCGCTCAGCCCATAGAACGGCCGCGATACCCATACCCGTCCCGGCAGCTAAAACGATGGCGCAAGTCACGAAAGCCGAAGCTACAGCGGCAAAGCAACTGAACTCTCCTCTCCTCCGTCTACCAGCAGAGCTACGAAACCTCATCTATCGCTACGCGCTCGGCGACCGTACCCTCATCCTATCCACGATCGATGACGAAACGCTCCGCCTTTACCAGCGCGACATACCTGCTTTCGCATTGCTAGCTCTATGTAAACAGATCCACAGCGAAACAGTGCTTCTCCCTTACAGCCTCAACACATTCGACATCGATTGCTGCTTCACCTTCAAGTGTCTGGTAGCCACTATTCCCCGGACTCACGTACAAGCTATCAAGAAGCTGGATCTTCGTACCTTGGCGATTTGGGGGGAATCGAATTACGAGACCTGTATGAGGCTAAAAGTGTTTAGTGCTCTGGAGGAAGTCACGTTCAGTTATGCTGGCAGCACAGATACGCTGTGGCATCGCGATTGTGAGGAACGCTGGGCTGAGGCAGTCAAGATGCTAAGGGAAAAGATGCCCTGGGTTGCGACGTCGATGCGGGACTTGCGTGACGAGATTCTTAGGGACGACGCGCTCGATTTCGCTGCGTGAGAAGAAAGAGTGGCACTTGGAGAATAGGGAGGGCGTATACTTGTATCATGTCACATGAGCGGTATCAGGATATCCAAGACACGGCTTGCGCAGTTTGCATACTAAAAAGGGAAGACCTCCGCCTCCACCCCGCGCCACCAACCTATGAGGAGAAATAGCACGTAGGTCACTTGGTTTGCTTGCTTGGAAAATGGACAGGCTATACGACTCGGTCGTCTGACAGACCCTCCGTTTAAGCAACCACTGACTTGCTTGATCATACGGTGCAATCGATTAGAACAATGCTCCATCTATTAGGTGAAAGAGAACCAGACATACAATCAGCGGCTTCCACTCAAGCATCGATTGACAACACCATGCGCAAAAAACATGTACAACGTGCCATGCAAGAGCAATCATTTACAATTAGCAAGACAAGCGACTAAGAGTACAAATCATCGTCCATGGTCGCATCGCCAAACCCCCCTTCAGCGATATCAACACTGCTCTTCCCCGGCGTATGATTCGCCGGCGCCTTGCCTTTCCCCTTTCCACTCCCACTCCCTCCAACCGCCCTATTCGCATCCCCATTCGCAAACCCATTAACCTCCAAATTCTCCGTCCTAACAACCATATCCTCAGCCTCGTCGATCGGCGCCTTTGCCTTACCCTTCCCCTTCGCGCTAGTCGCCGGTTGAACAGCTGGCGCAGCCCCATTCTCCTTCTTATCCTCCTTCTTGCCCGCGCCTTCAAACTGTTTCCGCACTCTATCGTAATGCCGGAGTTCATCTGCGCTAACACTAGGGACGAGTTCCTTGTGGGCTTCCATGAAGTCTTCTTCGGTGACCATGACAGCGGTATCTTCTTCTGTGGCGAGATGGTCAAAGAAATAGGCAATGGTGATGGGAGGGGAATGGGTGGCGTTGTGGGCGGCGACTTTCTCGTCGACGATCTTGGCGGAGCGGGTGATGGCTTTGAGCATGGCGTCGGAGCAGAGGGCGTACATGTCTGCTCCGGTGTATGTAAAGGGAAGGCCTTGGGATACGCGTTGGAGGGAGAGGGAGGGATGCAGTGTGAATCTTGTGAAACGTGTTAGCATCTGGGCGATTCGAAGGAACGGGGAAGGGGAATGTGACGTACTTCCTTGTCAGAGCTTCTAAGATGGTCTGCTGCTTCTCGTGAGTATCGGAAACACCCAGGTACAGCATCTTGTCGAAGCGACCGGGTCGCAGCAGGGCTTGGTCGAGTAGATCGGGTCTGTTAGTTGCTCCAATGACGAAAACACCTTCTCCTCCATCACTCATGCCGTCAAGCTCGGCGAGCAGCTGACTGACAATACGATCCATGACGCCGCCACTGTCACCTTGATTTCCACGCTTGGGTGCGACAGAGTCCAATTCGTCGAAGAAAACAACACAAGGACGGGCATCGCGGGCGCGTTGGAAGACACGACGTACATTGGCTTCAGACTCACCAATGTACATGTTGAGCAGCTCAGGTCCCTTGACACTGAAGAAGTTGAGTGAAAACTCGGTAGCGATGGCCTTTGCAAGCAGCGTCTTTCCTGTTCCGGGTGGACCGTAGAACAAGATACCACTGCGCTTCTTCATGCCCTTGGCGAATAGCTCAGGACGTGACAAGGGAAGTTGGATAGTCTCCATGACTGCGTCTTTCACGTGCGTGAGACCACCAACATCTGACCATCCGACGTTGGGGATCTTGGGGGCTCCAATTGCATCTGCGAAGTTCTTGCGTGCTGCATCTACTGCGGTGTCTAGATCGGCTTTGGTGAGACTGTTGCTAAAGTGACCTCCTGCTAGTTCAATGTCGCGCGTAGTAATTGTCTCGGACGATGAGAGCGATTTTGTAGAGGATGCAGCGAGCGCTTCGAGACGTTGCTGCTTTGCGACTAAAGCTCGATCGACGACATCCACAAGGTCGCCAGCCACAAGAGCGGCAGTCTTGACAGCGACATTTCCAAGGTCTACTTCAGGGGATAGTCTAATACCGGCATCATCGACGATACTCCTTAGAATACCTTCTCGTTCGCCTTCATCGGGTGCTGTCATCTCAATCTCGTGGGTGAAGAGTCCTCGGATACCTTCCGGTACCTTGTCGATCTCGGTCGTAGTTGCGATTAGCACGCGAGAGTCGGCCAATATCTCTTTCAGCGCGGTGTTCATGCGATCGGCGTTGAGTGCGTCGACGTGCTTGACAAGCAATGCTGTGAACTCAGCGCCACATGTCAACCCTCGTTCTGCCCTAGCTTTCAGAAATCCTTCTGTTTTGACATCGCCACCTCCAGCACCACCCTCGGTGATGATGTCAAAGGCATCAATCGCAAAAGTGTGCAGGCCGAGATCTTCGCAAGCTTTCGTAGCGAGGGTAGACTTTCCGATGCCACGTTGAGTCGAGGTGATCAAGACTGCGATAGGTGGCAGGCCCAGGTGGATGGCTCGCGGACTGGTAGCCACAGACATGAGTTCTCGCAACCGTCTGCGAAGTGATGAAATGTAGGGCTTGGGCAGCTCGTCTAGTGACATCGTCTTCTGCGAGCTCGAAACAGGGGCTCGTTTAGCACCAAGATAGTATTGCCAGGCATTGTTGATGGGAGCTGGAGTCTTGCCCTGCTCGCTGCCGTTCATCTCCATTTTGGTGCTGGCAGCATCTACTGTGACAGCACCACCCCATATGTCGGCTTCTTCGCCGTCGTGAGACGCATGGGTAGAACTCGATACGTTGCCAATCTTGAACCAGGATACGACTTTTGGATTGCGGCTGCTGACACTGGTGCTGTCGTCGCTAGCTGTTGGTTTGGCTTTGGCCAGAAGCTCATCGTTGCCAGCGTCTTCTTCTGCCGTAGTTTGGAATACTGCTCGACCAAGCGATTCGTCGATAGATACGCCTATTAAATCACCACTTTTGACAATGCGCCTCTTTTGCTCGAAATGATCTTTCAATGCCGCGAACAGACTGGGTTGGAGTAGACGATCTGACGACAAAGGGGTTGAGACCTTCAGCAGGGTGACCTCTTTGGCAGACGGAGGCAAAGAAGAGCTGTTGAGACGTGGCTTCTGAATGGCGCTCCTAGGAAGATGAGAAGACTGGCTGGGGGCTAGCGGAGTGATGCGGAGGTGAGAAGGACTGCCTAGGTTTGCGAGAAGAATTGGCGAGAGATAGGCATGCAATGACGAGATTGGTTGCGAGAAGCCCGAGAAACTACTTCTTCGGTCGGTATCTGCCATCTTCTGTACCGGATATCGCGCAACCTTCTTGGACATGTTTTCTGGCAGGCCAAAGACTCTGACGGGGCGCCAATTCGTATTATCTTCCTCGTCAACTCCTCCGAATGCACTCAAGCCCCAGAGCGGATGTGATGAAGGGGCTTCGGTGCCCCCAAGCTTTACCCAGTCGCCCGAAAAGCAACCGACTTTGACCAGTGTGTTGATGTCGACGAATACGCGCGCTTCCTCGTCATCCTCGCTTCCCGGCTTCGGGTGAATAAGATCATCTGGGACACGCTGGAGAAGCCCCTGGGCTTTGAAGACCTTGCTCTTATTTGCCGGACCACCACGGGCTGTCGTAGCTGTGAAATTGGAGTATACCGACCCTGGCGTCGCGATGCCATTAGGGCGTCCGAAGTTGCCGGGTCGTGGGGTCGCGGAGGAAAAGATTGAAAGTGCACCGGATGACTGAGGCGGGAGCATAGGCGCGTTCAGCGATATGATGTCGTCGGACTCGTCGGACAGGTCTCCTGCATCGCTCTCCGAGAGCTCTGACTCGAAGTTGTCCGTAGACTCCCCGTCAGGTGGAGAGACATTGCGCGAGTTGTCCTCTGCGGCCGAGTAGAAGGTGTCATTCGAGGTGTCGTCAGCCTCATCATCGTCGCCAAATCCGTTGGTCGTCGGGGGCTGTTTCACCGGAGGCATGATGATGGATTGCTTAGAGCTGCTTCGGTGCGACTGTAGTATGACGATCCTCGTGCTCGGTAGCAGGAGGCCTTGCGACACGGGTTCGGAGGCGCTGATTTTGGCTGGTGGAGGTGGGACATGGGTGATGGGATGCGCGGGTAGCTTCAGAGGAAGCAGGTCGCCAGTATGAAGCACAGTAGGTAGTTGTAGGGCTTCGCGTACGGCCTGTCGCCAGGCCTCCTCTTGCGCTGCGAGATCCACCGCCTTGCCTTTTGTTCCGTTCGCTTCCACATAGTGGCTTTTCGGAGCTCGTGATGAGCCATTCATCTGAGCAATGAAGCCTCCGCCGAATTTTGCATGCACCTCGTCCAGCTTCCGCAAGGCTTCCGTGTCCAGATTGACGTAGACTGTGTTCAGCCCAACCGGCACAACATCGTATATGCGCACCTCGATGGGCGTATCCCGTCTCTGTGTCTTGTTCGGGGCGACATTCTGGAGGAGCTGGGAGAAGGACTGCAGGGCGAGAGACGACGTGGGGATCTGGAGTGACGAATGCGGGCGCGCGGTGCCGGTTTCTGTCTTGTCGGCTGATCGCACCGGCAAGATGGTCCAGGGAGTGTTCTGGGAAGCGGCGATGGAGGTCGGCAGCCACGGGGTGATTGCGACGTGTTGGATGCGATCCGAGTCTGGCGTGTCTCCATTGGCTATTCTTCTTGTCAGCCACCTCTCCCATCTACTACCAAACATTCCTTCCACGTACCAGTGCTCTTGCCTCTCGATCCAGGGAACAGGTCATTGAACAGGTCCTCCGACAGCACTCCGACCTCACCCTTCACGCGATCGTCGAGCAGTAGTCGCGCCGAAATAGGAGGGCGGTCAAGACGTCTTCTCCGTCTTCTTTTCCGTGGGTTGGCGACTCCATTCTGCGCGTCCATGATGGATTAACGAGGGATGTCTGCCTCAATGGACAGGTGTATGAGCATTCGCGGCTCTGTTCGTTGCGTGCGATCAGCCCGGGCATCACATAGCACCAGAGAGCCGCATTGCCTCGGCAGAACTAGCCCGCTCGGACATGGTTACCTGCCACGAATCCCCGCGTCCACTCAACTG